TATATATTTTTTTTTTAAACAGGTTTCAACGATTTCTTTTTACTTTTAGACTTACTGATAATTAAGAATCTTTACAGTTAATCTAATATTTATACAGATTATAACCTTGAATCTAGCAACTGAAATCGAGAGAAACTGTTAAAAGCCTCTCTTTAGGAAAAATCTCACAAAAGATTGTTTAGCAAGGATAATTGAAACAGTTAAAGCCTGTAATTATTTCTAGGCTATAGCGAGATAAATTCAGTTTGTTTGGATATTGATCTATCACTGCATTTTGGATTGGGGAAAGAGTCTCATTTTGGTATTCAATACAGCAGTTAAATTATAACTTTGAAAGTGGGTTCTGCATGGCCTGAGAAATGTAGAAATTAATGTGGAAATAAGTAACTATATAGACAACAGACCATCTCATACTCCCAGTGTAACTCTTGGGAAAATCTAATAGAGGCCACAGTCGGGAACACTTCCAACTCAAAAATCCTGTAGCCTTCTGATTTATATGTTCTGGACTCCCTCTAGTGGTTCAACCTTTTGGTGCTTTAATTAGTACTTCTCAAGTCATAGACTCATCAAATTTTGGGTTACATTAAAAACAAGTTTTAAAAAAGAACCACACAACTCCTATTGGAATGGTTTTCCACCCTGCCAGGCGTGGCTCAGTGGTTGAGCGTCGGCCTAGGGTCCAGGAAAGAGCGGTTCAATTCCCGGTCAGGGCACATGCCCGGGTTGCCAATCCTCAGTCCGGGGCGTGCAAGAGGCAGCCGATCAATGACTCTCTCATCATTGATGTTTCTATCTCTCTATCCCTCTCCTTTTCTCTCTCTGAAATCAATAAAGATACATTTAAAAAAAGAAAAAAGAATGGTTTTCCACAAGGAGAAGACTATGCTAGTGAATGGTATGATAAATGTGGATGTTAAGATGGTTGAAATAATAGTGTTGCAAATGGTTTGACTTAAAGAGACACAGTGGATTTCACTAGCTGACTGGAAAAGCCAGTTACAGTTCTGCTGAGAGTGTGTGAATAAGAGCCAAAGGCCCTGGAACAGGATTCTTGGTTGCTTTAAGGTGAGAACTGGAGCTTTTAGGGAAAGGGTGAAGTGACTATTTCTTGGGTATATGTATCCTACAAGAATACATAGTTTGACCTAGAGAATTCTAGTTTGACCTTGTATAAAATCAACCTTTCAGACCAACCCAAAGCAACATGTAGTTTCTTCCACATCCTACTCCTAATAACAGTCTTTACATCTGTTTAAACCAAATGCAGAAAACTCTGAGTTTGGTTTAACTTTGTCTCCTTGTCTTGGCTTTTTTGGTTATGCTTTTGGCTATATCTTATAAAATATCTCCTATCTCTTCCATATGACCATACTACAAATGAGGAGGATTTTTATGTTTACTCCACTAAACTTTCACTTCCTGGCCAGTTCTGTACTTTAGATATACATAAGTATATCAACTCTTTTATATGACAGTCCTATACATATTTAAGACAGTTATGTCTGCATTAAGTCTTCTTAACCTTTTTTTTTTTTTATCCTCAAAGCTTCTTGGAATCAGAATAAAAGAACCTCCATTACAGAATAACTTGGTGGGCATTTTTATTTTTATTTACACCTTCAGGAGTCAGTAAAAACATTGTTTTTTTATTTCAGAAAACACAAAACTGTTCTTGAAAAGTCTGAGTTTGGAGTATTTGTTCTCCAAAGAGAACAGAAGCCAATGAGATTAAGAGGAAGAAGAAAATAGGATATAATGGGTGACTTAGCCATTTCAAGACCTCCTCTTGGTTTGCTATTTTCTAATTCCTTTTAAGTTGTTCCAGCACTGGATCTGGAAACGTACAGCAGAGACCAGGTAAGTGACTGTGGATTCCAGAAGCCAGTCACAGTGACTGCCCTGAGGTTTGGGTAGAATGAGGCCAGGAACTGGCATTGATCTCAAGATCCCAGATCTGACCATACTTTCCATTGAGAAGATACTGCTATAGAGTCTGCGGCTGACCTTTGAACTACACCGGTTTGAACACTCGGGTCCACTTATATCAGGATTTTTTTCAATAAATATATACAGCACTGTAAATGTAACAATTTTCTCTTATTATTTCAATAACATTTTCTTTTCTCTACAAAATATGTGTTAATCAAGTGTCCATGTTATTGGTAAGACTTCCGGCCAACATTAGGCTATTAGCAGTTAAGTTTTAGGGGAGTCAAAAGTTATATGCTGTTTTTGACTGGGTGAGTGTTGGCTGGCACCCTTAACTCTAGTGTTTTTCAAGGGTCAACTATTTGCATAAGTAGGAAAAAAACCAAGCCCCCAGTGACTTAAGCACTCCATCTGCAACCTCGATTTTGAGATCTCACAAACTGGGGTTGCGGTGAAGGCGGGGGAATAGAGGTGGAAGGATGTGGGTAAGACAAAAATGAGGCATATTTTTTACTTTGAATACCTGTAGCTCTTTTTGATGAGCAGCATTTAAAAAGACAGGAAATGTGTTCCAGCTGGTAAGAATAATTCCCTGCGGCCAGGGGAGAGGAGAGGTGGAAAGAGAACAGCAGTTTGATGTAGACAGACATCGCCTCTAACACAGGACTTAGCACCGTGCCCCACAGAGACAACAATCACTTATCCCACGAACAGAAGAGGTCATGATTAAGATGCCAAAGAACATTAAAAGGAGGAAAGCGGGAATCTGCACAGAACGCGCTGGCGCGCCGCAAACGCCGGGAGCCCGGGTCTCCTCCCCCCCGCTCCCCGGGCGTTCCAGGCCGCGCTGCGCGCCCGAACCTCCCACGCGGGCCGGAGCCCGGGTTATCGAAGGCGCCAAGGCTGTTATTACGCAGCTGCTCCAGCTCACCTAAGACATAGCAACAAAGCACTGCGAAAACACTGTGCCCATGGGGACCGTGTGGGTTTCCTCACAAACAGCAGACTCCCGGCCGACCTTCCACCGCGCCGGTGGCGACGCCGGGTCCCGGAGCCGGGCGAAGGCTCCGCCACGCCGGCGGCTCTCCAACCCCCAGGCCATCGGGCCAGGGAAGTTAGCTTCCGCTGCCTCCCGGCGCCCGTAAAGAAGGTTTTGTCCGGAAAGCTCAGGAATCGGCCAGTATTTCATCAAAGCCGACGCCACAACCAGCTATCCCCAGGGCCAGGGCACCGTCTATCTCCCCGATTGGCCCTTCTGGCCTCCACTCAGACGCTAGTGACTCTTGCCTGGCGCGTGCGCCTCACCTGCTTCCGGCCGGGTGCTCGGTGTATCGGCCTTTCCGGCCCGGGTGGAATCCCTACCCCCACTGTCCTCGGCCTAGGTTCCACCGTGTGCAATGGCTCCGGACTCAGGTCCCCTGCCCGAAGGGCCTGTCCTAAAGCTCCTTCCCTTAGACACTAGGGACCGGGGCACCCAGCGCTGTCGCCTGGGCCCGGCAGCCTTCCATGCCTTGGGCGCGCACTTGGGCTCGGCGGTGAAGATCTCCCTGCCGGACGGCGGCTCCTGCCTTTGCACCGCCTGGCCGCGGCGGGACGGAGCGGACGGGTTTGTGCAACTGGATCCGCAGTGCGCGAGCCCCGGGTCCGCAGTCGGGGC